AATTAGTATTAAATATGAAATTTTAATTAGATTTAATTAAAAATAATAGAACACAATCACAAGTAATAAGTTTTTACTAAATGTTAATTCAACTAAAAACTAAATTTTGTGCGCAATAATATATGAGTTTAAAAAAAATTCAAATTAAGGAAATGTTTATTAAATATTTGTGATTTTATTTCATTATTGAGTAATTTTATAATTATAATGAATTATAAATCTTAGTTGGAGGAGATACTGGCTAAAACTATAAAGCACATCAAACAAACCAAAAACCAGCAAAAAAATTACAAATGAACCTGACAATGTCTATTGTTTATGGAAGAAAAAAATTTGTTAGAGTAAATAATTTATAATTTATTGGTGTGTTTGATGTTCTTTAATTATAAATATTACTGACTACTACTAATATTGGTTCTTATTTTTAAACTAAATTCCAAAGATCATTTTCCTTCATTGGTAAACTAAAATGTAAAGTTAAATTACCTTGATACAAAATTTAACAATTGTTATTGGGACGTATTCCAGATTCATATTTATTTTCACAAGTATTTTGTTTCCTAATAGCGTACATTCTGATTAAACATTTCAGCAATTGACTTTATCAAAAAATTAATTTGATTTTTTTTTATAAAAGTAAAGCTTTGTCCATTTTGTGTAGAAAATGAACAGTACTCTAGTTTCATACACAAATCAATTTGACAACAATCTTCAATTTATAATGAATAATTTTAAAGAATATTCCTCTCAAACAGATCCTAGCCAGGTTTAAAGTATCAGGTCAGTCCATAAGTTCGTGTGCATTTTTATCTACAAAAAAAGCAACAAAAAATTTTAATTAAATCTTATTTCAATCTATAATGTATTCACCATTATTTTGTACAATCTCTTGCCATCTTGATGGTAGCTTTTTAATCCCGTCTTTGTAAAATGATTTCGGTTTTGAATCAAAATATTCAGAAATAGCCTTTTTTACATTGTTCTCATCCTCAAAAGTTTTTCCTTTTAAAAAATTCTGCAAACTCCGAAAAAGATGATAATCACTGGGAGCAATATCTGGCAAATATGGTGGATGAGGTAAAATTTCCCAGTTGAAGCTTTTGAGTTGAGCAGTTGACGTTGTTGTCAGTTAGCTATTGACAGTTCATGTGGTATCCATTTTCCTAGCTTTGAAACTTTTCCGATTTGTTGTAGATGTCTATGAACAGTTCCATGGGATGAATTTAAACGTTCCGCAATTTCATCAACTGTTAAAGATGGTTCTGCTTCAACTAGTGCAGAGAGAGCATCATCATCAAAGTCAACAGGTCTTCCAGTACGAGCCTTATCCTCCACACTAAAATCATTATTTCTAAATCTTTCAAACCACTTCTGCGCAGTCCTTACACTAATTACAGTTTGATTATGAACAGTATTTAATTTTTTGGCTGCATTTGTAGCATTCTCATCACTTAAAAATAAAAAGTATAAAACATGTCTCTTATATTCATCTGTTACTTCCATTTTAACGAAAATAAACAACTGAAATGTTCCCAATTCTGAACAGTATTATATAAATGAGATCCAATTTAACACTTCAGTGTAAAAAGTATCACATTAGACTGGCATTTTTAACAGCAAAACAAGATCATAAAATACACACGAACTTATGGACTGACCTAATATTTTGTTTTAAATGTTACTTGTATATTTTATTATAGTATTAGCCAAACTATTACATTATAAAATAAGTAAAAGTAATTAGATTTTGAAATAAAAAAAATTCAAAGCACAGTTGATATGTCAGCCGACGTCACAGCAGTGCCCTTGCAACAATCATAATCATTTCAGAAAAAAGCTGGCTTTTTTACATCTTGTATATGCTTATGAATACATATATTTTTTAACATTTAAACATTACATACCAGTATGTTCACTTTCTTGTTTCATCCCCAATAATGGACACTTCTCAAAAATTTACAACTGTGAGATAAATTAGGGGTTGATTACTATCGGTTTAAACCCCTTTGTTCAACGTCAGGAGAGTGAGTCCCACTCTCGCTGTCACTGGATGGCTTGGATTCGAGTGGCAGAGGGGTTGAATAAATCGATAGGGTGATCGGATCTCGTAATAACTAATATCAACACCAGTTAAACAAAACAACAAATTTAATAAGTAATGAAAAAGGGTTAGGTACATATGTGGAGGTTACAATCTACAAGCTAGCTACATAAGTAATATACAGGTAACCCCCGTATAACATGGCAATTCTATAGCACGGATTCACTCTAACACAGTTTGAGAATTGGAAATATCCCCCGTATAACACGGTGCTTTTATAGCATAGGTTCACTCTAACACAGTTCAGGAATTGGGTAAAACCCTCGTATAACATAAAATGTAATAAAGGGTGCGTTCTTTTATACCTCCACGCAAGCATTCTAATTGTTTTTGTGGCTACTTTGAATGCTCTTGAAACAAATAATCCATTTAATGGTTAAATTTTACAATTGGGACCCTTCTTTTGCCTCTAAAAGCTATTTTAGAATTATAGATTCCTCCAAATGATACTATCAATAGTGCGAGCGCCGCCATCTTTCTTTCACCGTCGTTCCTAATGCCTACAAACAGCAGCGCACTCCCGTTGCAGAGCGACCACTATTAAAGAATGCACCCACAAACTGTTACCAGTTGATGATGCTCATGCTGAGATCATCATATAGAATGAATAATCCTCTGGTAAAATATTTACTTAAATAATAAATAAGTATTTTACCTAAGAAAAAAATGAATACTAAATCCGATTTAATTTAAGATTTAACAACATGTTTTTTAATTTTTGGAACCTAACCCCCTTTTCGCACTAGTTCTTTGTTTTGTATAACATGGATTCCCATAACACGGCAATTTTCTGGAACGTAACTCTCGTGTTATATGGGGGTTACCTGTACCGAGAGAGAGAGTTTACATGTTAAGTCTATATTGGATACCTCTTAAATAGTCTGATGTCCTTCTGATCCTGGTTATATGAAAGTCGGTGCAACGATTGTGGATCTTCTCGGGAGGAGAAATGTTCACAGAGATGAGTAATGGCAGGTTTTAGTCACCTGTTACTATGGTGGAGTCTGCCCGAAGATCGGGTGCACACTCTTTTTATCCTCACTGGAGTGGGAAAAAATCAGGTGACTTCTTTTTGGGTGGTCCTAAGTTTGAGATGCGTCATCGATTCAGCTGATGAGGACCGCAAGAATTTGGCAACCTGGCTGGTTTGTTGACACTTTCTGCCAGGTGCTGCGACTCTTATTACAATATAATTTAAACAAATTCATAATTCCTAGACATCAACAAGCAGGTGTTGGGATTTATCTTATAAATTCTCAAACCAAAGAGCAAGATGGTTGTTTTTGCTAAGACATTTGATCATCTCTTGTTTATCTGACCAGAGGGCAACAGAAATGCCAGGTAGAGCGCTGGGTTTTTTCCACTTCATAATTAATCTAATTACTTAATTGCCCCCAAAATTTCACACAACCTTACCATAGATGTTGGTTATTGAAAAGTTTGACTGAAATAAAAATATATGAAAAATGTCTATCATATACCTACACACCAACCGAATGCCGATAATCTATCGGGCTAGTATAAGGCTAGTTATTAAATGAATTACGTAACCAATTTGGCTCTAGAGGTAAGCATTAGGCACCATCTCTTATTAACTTTAATAATTATAAAAAATTTAAATAATTTAGAACCGCTGTTGTGGGTTCGAGTCCCGCTTCGGGCTGATTTTTTCTCCCAGCAGTTTTAATTTATTTATAATTATTAAAGTTAATAAGAGATGGCGCCTAACGCTTACCTCTAGAGCCAAACTGGTTACGTAATTCATTTAATAACTAGACTTATACTAGCCCAATATATTTTCGGCATTCAGTTGGTGTGTAGCTATATTATATATCGGGTTTAGCAATGTTTGTATTGTTTGTCTATCATATATCTGAGTCTGTAAACTTATAATCAAAAATGATCAAAAATTTTATTTTGAATGCTAGACTAAAATTTCTGGCCATATAATATTGTGCAATTCTGGAAATCTTTCATCTAGTTGAAAGAGACCATCTGTTTTCAAAATCATGCATTAAATAATAAAATATTTTATGTTAAGTAAATAAAATATATGGATTTACTACTACTAATTGTATTATATCTAAATAAATACTATTTATTTAGATATAATACAAGTATCATATCTAAATAAATAGTTTGTTACTTTATGCAAAGATGATCTGTTTATTAATCTGAAAAATGCTAAATTTTTCCATATCATTACTGATTATATATGTATTTGTTCTCTCTACATAATTTACAATCACTACTGTTTTATATTTATCACCTACTTCTGTATCAACAACCCTTGAATTATGATGATTTGCAAAAATTCCAAAATTTGGCACCAACTAATTTTAAGAACACATCATTAGTGCATAATTTTCTGAATAGATTAATTATTTAAAAAACAAAAATTACAAGTACATATTATTTATTAAAATGTATATTTATGTAAAAAGATATTAAAAATACTTACATAGAGCTTTAATTTTCGAAATCTAATTTATATATGAAAATATTTTGGAGGCTGGAATGTGATTCATTCAAACAACATTATAAATATTATAATGTTGTTTGAATTATAAATATTAACATTATATAAATGGGATTCTATTTATGATGCCTTCAAGAAATTTAACCCCATTGTAGATCACAAGTTGACTGTATGCCTTATACATAAAAGTATCAACTTAATTATATAATGAAGTAATGTATAGATGTGTTTGTTTACTTTTTTTTTTAACTTTAAGAAGAACAACAAATTTTATAGATGAGGAATTGTATCAAATTTTCAAACAATATCTTCTATTTTCAAAAGACTAAATATTATATAAAAATTTATATCATTAACAAAAATAACATATGAATTTTAGAGAAAATATGATTTAATGTACTTAATGCTGTAAATGATAAAGAGATACAATGTATGAGAATTTTAACTTTAATATACACACACAGTTTAATATAAACAACACAATATTTTACAATGTGATCAATATTTAATTTTTTTAATAAGCAATTATAAAATATTTTAACATATTAAAAAAATATAGAAATATACTCTGATTAAATCATGTTTTTTGAATTATATTAAATGAAATTAGAATATGTCAACAGTAACAATTATATTTTATCAATTACAAGAGCATTTACTTCAGTTCCCTGTTGTAGCATTTTTAAAGTTTCACTGCATGGTGGTAAAGTTAATAATGTATTAGCCTTGTGCATACTTGGAAGACGGCTGCTTATCTGATTGCCAGTAACAACTGCCAATGGAAGGTTTGAATCAGGCTGCCAAAAAAGATGAGCTCTCTGATATTCTGGTCTTGGATCTAACTGCACATCTGTACTGAGCTAACAAAAAAAAAATTGAAATTTGTAGATATGCTTTAGTTATATAGCAGAGTATATTTATTTGAAAAAATCAAATTTTTTGGATTCAGATAAGAACTCAGTGGAGGCACTTGGTCTGTTCACTTTCATCACAAAATGAGATTATGTTGTCTATTTGTTTTCAATCAGGATTATTAATTGTGAATGTATTGAATAGATACTTCCAAAGTAAAAGGGCAACTCTTGGTTAAAGGAATAAAATAATAATGCACCATTGCAAGTTTTAAGAGAAAATAAATCAATTTGACGAGATAATCAAACTAATTTCTTTTCACTTACGATCTTTGTTCTATAATTGATGATCAAAATATCAAAAACTTTGCAGAAAAACAAAATTTATCTTGAATCTGTTCAAGCTTTAAAAAAAGAAAAAAAATGATGACTGTTTACTGAGAATTGACACAATTAAGAAAAAGTAATTTGGTGGAGTTGCCAACAGAAAAAGCACTCTGAATATTGGAAAATAAACATTTATCATCAAGTGATGGATATTATTATTAATAACTTCAAAAATAATTTGAAATTCTCCATTTAGCAAATCTAATTGACTACTTTCTGAAATTATCCTTACAAAAGTGTCTCCATGATTTAATATATTATAAAAATTAAAAATCAACACTTTCATCCTTGAGACTTTAAAAATATTTTTAACAACAAAAAGTTGCATCCAATTTGGATAATCTGAAAGATATCAAGAAAGACTTCATTCCCAATCTATACAAGATATTGCAAGTTGCTACAGAGGCCTACCTGAGAGTTTAGAAAAATTTCATAACCAGATATCATATGATACCTTAATGTGGCTAAGGACCACAATACTCCAAAATTAAGGAATGCACAATTAGGCAGCGAGCACCACAAATGATCACCTGTCAAAGAATTATGAAGAATGTTTTACAACTACTGACATAATATGCACATTATGGGAACAGTAGTGCCAAATTTTCTCCAAGCAATTGAATTTTGAAGTAAATTTTTTTCCACATAATATACAGGTATAGGACAAAATAATGGGAAAACCTGTGAAAGAATGCAAAACATTTATTAGTAGGGAGTTGGGCCACCATTGGCCTGAATTACAGCTTGTATCTGATGTGGGATTGAGAAATAAAGGTTGTGCAGAAAGTTTAAGGAAATATGCAGCCATTTCTCCTGCAGAGCAGTCTCGAGTTCAGGTAGTGTGCATGGAGGAGGAAACCGAGAACAGACTTTGTTCTCTAAAAAGCCCCACACAGGCTCAATAATGTTGAAATCACTGACTGAGGACACCACATGAAATGTTCCACTTCATCATTATGCTCATCCAACCATGTTTGAACACAGCAAGCCATCTTGGAATAGAGGACGTTCTCCAGGAAACAGAGTATGAGGCATAGTATGTAAATGATCTGCAATAATGCACGCCTCTGACCTTCTCCCTCAGGACTATGAGTGGCCCCAAGCATGCCACGATATCACTCCCCACAGCATCACAGAGCCCCTCCATGCTTCACAGTAGGAACCAGACAGTCAACATGAAATCCCTCTGCTGGTGTTTGCCAGATGAACACACGTTCGGTGGTCTGAAATAATGTAAATGATGATTCATCAGCCTAGATGACCTGTTCCCATTGCTGTTGTGTCCAGTTTTGGTGGTCTCGGCACCACTGTCATCACTTCATAGCATTCTACGGCGACATTAATGGCTTTGGGATGGCTACTCGGCCATGAATGCTCGCAGTATGCAGCTCCTGTTGAATACGGGGTTCTGGAGATGGGTGTTCATCTCAGAGGTTATCTGCTGCAGTATAGTCTTACATTTTTGGGTGACTATTCTCTTCAATGCTCATCTATCTTGGTCAGTCAACTTCGACTTTCGCCCACTGTTCTGTTTCGCAGAGGACACCTTTCCCAGTTTTGTGTAGGCTGTCATAACCCTTGACACAGTGGACCTTGAAACACCCATAAGGTTGGCTGTTCTAGACACGGACGCTGCAGCGAGCTCCAATATTGATGCCTCTGCTCGTCGGACAGGTCGGACATAATGGCGCTTTGCTGGGAACAGAATTTTCTCATGCAACTGTCACACTGCCAAATGCTTGACTGATACCTTCCCTTTCACTACCACTGGATGGCAGAGTGTTGGGACATGTGGTGGGGCTGTATTGGACGGTTGAAGTACAACACATTTCGAAAGGGGTGTTCCTATTATTTTGTCCTATGCCTGTATATACCAAATTTGGTTGAGATTTGTCCAATAGCTATTTCTGTAGAGAACTCCAAATGCTTGCTCTTTAAGTATGATGACCATGACATTTTAAAAATAATCAAAAATGGCTGCATTTTTAAATGTTACAGATTAAATTTTAAAAACATTTTTTGAAATATAGTATTTAACTTAAAACGTTAGAACTCGAAAAGATGATAAATAAAAATATTTGAGATTTCATAACTTTAATAAAACAATACATTTAAAAATTACTCTTACCTTTGCTTTTATAAGAGTTGGCATTACATTTTGATAACCACTGATTTTTCTAAGAGCAGGAAGTACAAACAAATGACACGTTACTGTTGCTGAAACTGGATTTCCTGGTAAACCAAATATTAATTTCTTCTTTCCATTATAATTAACTGTTGCAAATGTAGTTGGTTTTCTGTAAAATAAAATATTTTTTCTTGAAGCATATGTCAAATGTTCAAACCAAATACAGAATTTTACTGAGTTTTATAAATAATTTTAAAATTTACTTCAGTAAGTTTATTAATAATTATATTTGTATAAATTTATTATTTTAGATAATATACTTAGCTGTTGATAAAAATGATGATTAAATAATTTAAATTAATTTAATTATTATATTAGTTACTATTATATTCACTAGTTTCCAGAATGTGTTTTTGAATTCTGCCACACAAGGTTGTATGTCTTGGCAGCCATTAAAGTACTGCTAGTTGTTAGTGTAGGTCTGCAATTTTTAGTTTTTCATTGGTGACATGCTTTATAAAACCAGTTCAGGTAGATATTGTGCAATGCTTAGCTTCCATAATGGCCAGAGTATTCTTTATAAGTGGTTTGAAGCTGTATACAATGTACACAAAAACATGATGCATCTAGATTGTCTATGAATTTGACCATTCCAGTTACATTCATTTCCATGTGATGAAAATTTAAGAAGAGAATGGGTAACCAGCCATGCATGTACAGTACTGTACATCCAGCTAGATTAACTTTGCCATCATAAGACACACAAGTCCATACAGAATGATTACTTGCAGATATGGTTTGTGATAGCTCTACATTTGTCCTAAGGACACATGTGTTTTGTGACAATTTATTAATTAATTAAAATTTCATGTACTTTACCACTTGAAAAATAATTATAAAAGTCAAGACTCCTATAATTAAGCATTTCTTAGTAATCATAGGCTTTACTTTTAATAAGATATTCAAATATATTCCAAAGGTGGTATTCTCTAAAGTCATTATTCCATGATTTTATGGTACTAATTGATGAAAATAAATTAGAAAATATAAGTTTGAAGAAGAAACTAAATAAAAATGTAAAAATTTTGCTTTAGACTTAATTCTATGATGATATCTGAATATTTTGGACTACATTACTTTAGGAATTAAATGGCAATATAAATATTTTCTTTTAGATAATAACAGTGGAATATTAGTAAAACTACATAAGCTAATTTTGTCAATTATTTTCTAAAAACAAGAAAATAGGATTCAGGTTTTCTTAATTTTACTTTAATTTTTTTCCAACAGAAAGAAAAAAANAACACAATCACAAGTAATAAGTTTTTACTAAATGTTAATTCAACTAAAAACTAAATTTTGTGCGCAATAATATATGAGTTTAAAAAAAATTCAAATTAAGGAAATGTTTATTAAATATTTGTGATTTTATTTCATTATTGAGTAATTTTATAATTATAATGAATTATAAATCTTAGTTGGAGGAGATACTGGCTAAAACTATAAAGCACATCAAACAAACCAAAAACCAGCAAAAAAATTACAAATGAACCTGACAATGTCTATTGTTTATGGAAGAAAAAAATTTGTTAGAGTAAATAATTTATAATTTATTGGTGTGTTTGATGTTCTTTAATTATAAATATTACTGACTACTACTAATATTGGTTCTTATTTTTAAACTAAATTCCAAAGATCATTTTCCTTCATTGGTAAACTAAAATGTAAAGTTAAATTACCTTGATACAAAATTTAACAATTGTTATTGGGACGTATTCCAGATTCATATTTATTTTCACAAGTATTTTGTTTCCTAATAGCGTACATTCTGATTAAACATTTCAGCAATTGACTTTATCAAAAAATTAATTTGATTTTTTTTTATAAAAGTAAAGCTTTGTCCATTTTGTGTAGAAAATGAACAGTACTCTAGTTTCATACACAAATCAATTTGACAACAATCTTCAATTTATAATGAATAATTTTAAAGAATATTCCTCTCAAACAGATCCTAGCCAGGTTTAAAGTATCAGGTCAGTCCATAAGTTCGTGTGCATTTTTATCTACAAAAAAAGCAACAAAAAATTTTAATTAAATCTTATTTCAATCTATAATGTATTCACCATTATTTTGTACAATCTCTTGCCATCTTGATGGTAGCTTTTTAATCCCGTCTTTGTAAAATGATTTCGGTTTTGAATCAAAATATTCAGAAATAGCCTTTTTTACATTGTTCTCATCCTCAAAAGTTTTTCCTTTTAAAAAATTCTGCAAACTCCGAAAAAGATGATAATCACTGGGAGCAATATCTGGCAAATATGGTGGATGAGGTAAAATTTCCCAGTTGA